TCTAAAGTTGTTCGTTAGATGTGTACTTGTTTGATTAAGTGCTTTTTTTGACTTATTTGTTTTACCATATTTTAAACTCGATTATTGTTGAAAACCCTAGGTCTTTGGATCTGAAACTGTTTGTTTGAATGTATACTTGACTCGATTGAAAGTTCTTGTTTCAGACTCTCTTTTCTTTATGTGACTTGTCTGATTTTTACTATCTTTCAACTCGACTATGGTTGAAACCCTGACTTCTCGAAAGGTTTCCTCACTTGTTACTGCAAGACCTGTGCTTGTTTTGACTCTCTTATTCACTTTGGCTATATGTGTGAGCCCTGACTATCTAACCTTGTTCACTACTAAATCCTATGCTTATTTCTACTACTATTGTATGTTGTTTCTTTTGCCAATGTGCTTGGCCTCGCATGTCTGATGTTTCTGTTCACTCTGTTTATATACTAAAGTGCAGAAGCATATTCTTCCTTGATTGATCTTAATCTTGTGACTGATTTCAAAAACTTTTCCTTTTATGAACCCTAATTTTACTCGCCTGTTTAAAATTAATTGATTCTTTTCCCTTTACTGTGATGTGTTACCTTGCTGATTTCTTTCCCAAAATAAGCATATTTTTGTACTTAGACTCGACTGTTCACTGCATGCTTTTACTATCCCTTATATGGCAATAATCAGTCTGCTTCCAAACTGATTTTCTTTCCTTAATTAGACTTGCTGCTACCCGTTAGACAGTGATTCCTTAATTAAAGGGGAATCACTTGGGTAATTGATTCTGACTTGTGATTGTTTTCATGTTTGTATCAAGACTTTACTTATTACCTCTCCTTCACTCGTTTTCAAAAAAATTATAAATACCCTGCACCCCTCTTCTTTAAAAAAAAAAGACGAACTATCTAAGTTCAGAACACACACTTCACTAAAAACTCTCTCTTTTCTCTGTTACTATTTGTGCTACTGCTTTGTCTAGCCGGCTAAAAGTCAAGGCTAGGCTGTGGTCATTTGCTTACTTTTCTGCACTTTGCTTCTTACTGGTATGTCCTAGTTAATTTTCAAGCATCAACAACAACATGTTTCTGTAGTTGTTCCAACTTCTTTCATGCTTGTTCACTTCTGCTTATGTTTCTGCAATCAAGTTACATTACTAGTATGTTGAAATGTGTTCCCTTCCCCTTTTCGAGTTAATGCTCTCCTACGTGTATGAATCTCAAACCCCACATCCCCTCTTTATGTTTGTACTTTCTGGCTGGTTTATGAAAATGCCAGCATCTCCTATTGCTGTGCATGTCTAAACCTGACCCCTCCTAGGGTCATGTGCTTCATGCAATGTATTCCCCAAAACCCCTGACCCCTTTGTGCAACTACTGATTTTACTACCACTGTTTTCAAATCATCCTTATCACTTACTATTTCCCAGCCCAGTTTTAAAATCTCTATGTTCTGCACTTTCACTATATTCCTAAAATCTAAGTTCTGCCCCTCTTGTGTGAGCCTTGCCTTGGGACCCTTGAGCTCCCTCTGAACTTGGACACATAAGAGCTGGCCCTTCCACACTGCACTCATCTCTATCTGGTTATGCAAGCCTGGGTGTAAGCACTGCCCAGGGTCCCTTGAGACCCTTAGGGAACTTTGACACACCCAGGTCTGAGAAAGGCTTTGAACAAGTGGCATTTGAGGTGGTTTGTTCCATAACTCAGAGAGGAAGTCAGAATCAGGCTTCCTATGGTTGTAACTTCTTATTCTTTACACTTTTCTGATGTAATTCAGTATTTGTTCTATAATAATTTGTAATGAATATTGGGGTTGGCTAGTGAAAAGGGATGGGTAATTGTGCACGTTTTAAGGGTAGATATCCTGCCTATAGGGTCTGCTGTTTAAATTTTGCATGTTTTAACTCTACACTTAGATATCCTGCCTATAGGGTCTGCTGTTTTAAATTCTGCATGTTTTAACTCTACACTTAGATACCATGCCTACAGGATGTATCTAATAAATTTCTGCATTGTTTCACTTCCACAATTAGATATCCTGCCTGTAGGATATAATGGCCATAATCAGACATCACATCTGCAAGGTTAAGAATCAGCTTCGAAATTAGATGTCATGCCTATAAAGTTAATATTAATATTTTATAGAAATCATGCCTATAGGAATTTCGGTGTGATCAAATAAATCCTGCCTACTCCACTTCATTAGATACCATGCCTATATGACCAAATCAGCCTTTAATGTTAGATACCATGTCTGTAGGGATTAAAATCATCAACAATAGAGATTATGTCCATAAAGATCTGAAACCAGTTTAGTTAAAAATCAGTTTGCCTCATACTGTGTTAAATTAGTTACTCCTTTCATTAATGCGGTCTAGAAAGCATGCCTATAGGATCCAATTTGCTCGTTTAAAACTGTTACTGCTTTGCCATTTTTGAATCAGTAATAGATATCATCCTTATAGGGTATCATCAATACACACTTAGGCAAGCCTTAGGTAATAACGATAAAATTGAATCTGCCTTTGTTTAATTAGCAACTGCTACAACCAGCAGGCAGGCCTGATTCGGACTTCTTATCTGAGTTATGTAATAAATTGGTCTGCTTCAACAACTAAAACTCCCCTGTCTTAGTACTTTAAATTCAGACCTTAATTGTGTATGAGTCATGTTGTTTATATATGCATTATTTGCGGAGGTATACATGTGCTTTTTGACTGCTTGTATGTTTCCCTTCTAAGTGCAGTCCTACTTGTTTTTGTATGTCGCCTTAGCATTTACATTTAAACCTAAGAGTCAGCTTAGAACCTCCCTCTTATAGCAATAGTAGTCCTAAACTCCTCCGGGGCTGATAGGAATGGGACGGGTAACAGCATGCAATAGAGGTCGAGACCAATCCGCGCTTTAATACCTTAACAGGGTGGGAAGGGTAGATATGGATATGATGACCGGTGCGCTAATACCACGCGTAGCCCCTCTTTTGAGGAGTGATTACCGGGTATTGCATTGATGTGATCCATATTACAAATAAACCTAGGACCCCCTTTATATTCGTTAGCATGCTTAGTTATAGCTCTTTCAAAACTTTGCTTTATCATTTCCAAATGCTTGTGTATTTAAATCCCCTCTTATTTGAGCCTTGTTTGTTTACGTGTTAGCTGCACAAATTCACAAAGAACTATCTGGCCGGGAACCACACTAATGGATCCTGAGGGGTGCCTAACACCTTCCCCTTGGGATAATTTCAAGCCCTTACCCTATCTCTGGTTATAAAAAATATAGTTATAATTGAACCCCATTGGTGCCCTAACGCACCTTAAAATCGTTAGGTGGCGACTCTTCAAAATTACAAACCCCTTTCCCAAAAGGAAAGAGTTGTCCCAATTGAATGTCACAAACCCGATTTCCGCGGAGGAAAAAAGGGGGCGCGACAACTCCTCAAAAAATTCCCATCAAAATTGCATGGCAAAAGCCACCAAAAGGATGGTTTAAGCTAAATATTGATGCTAGCTTTGACAGTGCTACACAAAAATGTGGTCTGGGAGGAATTTTCAGGGATGCCAATGGACACTGGACTGTGGGCTTTGGTAAACCATCCTATGCAAGTGGATCATTAGAAGCGGAGATAAAAGCTCTATTAGAGGGACTCAAAACAGCTGAAGAATGGAGAATGTACCCACTTGTAATAGAGACAGATTCCGTGGAGGTTATTCAATCCATCCTACAGGGCAATAGATTATATGACGATGTTGTTAATGAATGTAGGTGGTTAATGCACCAACAGAAGGAGATGATCCTCCAGCACACATTTAGGCAAGGGAATAGTGTAGCTCATCACATGGCTAGGAAGGCTGCGGATCAAATGGAAGGCAAGAAGACTTTTGTTGAAGCTCCAACTTATGTAAAATGTATTGTGGAAAAGGAACTACTAGAACAATATGTTTTTGAGAAATTTCTATCTTATGATGCTTGTAACACTCTAGCAAGCCTAGGTAATCTAAGTGCCCTTAAGGATACCAAGTATGCGTACCATGTACTAAATTCTATTTAATTATTAATATATATAATTCCTGTTTGCTAAGAAAAAAAAACTATTGATGATAGTAGAGGGGCATATCAGACCCTTTGCCGATTAAAATTAGCTTAAAGTTGATCCTTAAACCTTAAAAGTTTGTTAACTCATAATTTTATTTGATAACGGATAATAAATCTGCGCTCTATCTTTCTCCATTTAAACAATAGGTTTTTAGTTAGTGGCGAGATTTTACGCTCTTACAATTGAACCAAAGCCTGAGAGCCTGGTCAACTCGACAATGAGCCCGTTTGGATGGGCTTGTTTTAAGTGGCTTTTAAGCCAGAATAGCTTTTAAGCCACAAGTTAGGAATTCTAACTTTTGGCTTTTGGCTTTTGGCTTTTGGCTTGTTTTTGTCATTTTAGCTTAAAAACAAGTGCTTAAAAGCACTTTTTTACTTTATCCAAACACTACAAAATGGCTTAAAAGCTAATTTGGCGTAAAAGCACTTAAAACAAGCCAATCCAAACAGGCTCAATGTCTAGGAAAGGATGCATAGTAGCAACAACGTGTCGGTCTAACTAGAACAAGTTTACAGATCATTAGGAACCTCTTGCTATATGACGGTTAACATCATGTAAGCTGTAACTAAAACATTTGAGAATAGAGTTTCCATCTGAGCCTAGTTTGGCAAATATTGCTAAACCAAAGGTGACTTTTTTCATAAAGAAAATATAGTTGACAAAGAGTGATTCTTAAGCCAAATTGAACATTTACCAACTTTAAGATATGATACCCTGTATCTCCTTAAGAAAGTGAACCCTGGCAGTTGATACCTTCTCCTTGCAACATTCGATCAAGGCTGATAAGATAACTGTGTATTAAGAAACTGCCCGATTTAACAGAAACCACAAAAGTGTGTATAGAATCAGACTGCAGAATTGTAATATTAATGCAGTAGTTTTAATATTCTAGATAAAGTTCCACCCTATATAGAAAGATGAAAGGACAAAAAAGGAGTTGATTAAAAGATGCCAGAAATCAAATTTCAAACATTACACTGTAATTGCAACAAAAAATGATGAAAGTTTCATTTCCGAATATACTGAGTCCCCTAACATGACCTCGGAAGCAAGCCAGTGAGAGGACATTTTAACTATTTCCTGTACATAATTTCTGATATATTCACAATATGAATTGAAAAATTATATCCTTTAGTCAGAGGCTGCAAGCAAAAACATGACGCAGGAAGAGATAGCAAGAAGGAACCATGAGAGAAAAGACAAAGCCACTGAAATTTGAAACAAGTCGCAGGATAGTTTATTCTCAACTTTGCAGATATTTGTATCTTTCACAAACAAAACCACCACGCCAGCTGATGAGCAGGCAGCTGCGAGGGATAGAGTGGCTGTCACCTACATTATGACATGACCACAATCAGTGGCAGAGGCAGAAATTTCATCAAGGAGATTCAAATAAAATGTTCTCTGGTACTGATATGTAGGGGATTCAACAGCTTATATAAAAGTTTCATCCATATACAAAATACAATTTTCCGCGAAGGGAATTCAGTTGAACCCCCTTCAATAAACATGGCTTTGCCACTAACTGCAATATGAATACTAAATCAGTCTTGAACTGACACATAAAAAAGGAACAATTTGATAGTGTCACCTTACACAAAAGGAGAAAGACAACGAGAATTTTGCCTGCTCACAGCCTCACTATAAAGCAGAAATTAACTTTTACAACATTACTCAGTGACAGGTAGACAGGAATTGATCAATTCACCAGAGAAACAATGAAATCTTTAAAAAGAAGTTAAATTTCTGCATTGTTTGCCATGATTTCGTTTCTCTTTGTTTTGGGAACTTTCAGCAGTTGGGGCGCTACATTTACTGAACTAGTTAAAAAAAAGCAGTTATAGTTATGGAATAGTTAAAACATTATGTAGAGAGTCATCGTCTACAAGATTAAAATCATAAAACTAGAGCTGCACCACAAACTTGAGCACATACTTAATTAGCATGTCAACATTATATTAGCTTTTTCTAAAGGGTAACCATGGCACTCGCTATATGGACAATAAAAGAGTGTATGAGCAAAATTTGGCATAGGTCAGGGTGCCTATCTCTGGCTTGAGGTCGATTTTTCCTTAAATGAATGGAATATTTGGATACACTGACCCCATGCTCATATCATGTATTATACTTGTATCTCCAGTATAATCTCAAAGTTTCACCTATTTACAAATTCATTCTAATATTAAACATGCATGCCTAGTTGAATATTAACTTCAAACCATAAAACACATTTGAACTGCCATGTGTAAATATCGCAAACGTGTGACAATAGCTTCCTGCAAAATATTTCCAATATTCCTAGCTTCTACATGAGGGACGGAGTAGGCAGTACTAACTCAAGCTCATCCTCAAAACGTTTGACTTTGGGATAGCAAACATAGACCATGACCATGCCTCATGGCTTTTTATTCGTCTTTATCTTTTTTTTTTTGTGTGTGTGTGTGTATGGGGGGGGGGGGGGGGGGGATGTACTCGCGCATAAAGCACATCAGAACATCCAAAAGTGCATATCAACATTTCCATCTTATTACTACGTTACATACAAATTCATAGTATAAGACACCTTCAGAACAAAAGAATATCTGTAGGTTGTGCAATGGAAAGTGGTCGCCATATAAACCACTTGATGCAGTTCCATATCAAGTGAAGAAGATAGTGCGAAATACATGGATCACTTGGCTTCTGCATGCTTGATGGAAATGGACATAACTTGATCTTAGCAGAACCTAATAATCCTTTAAACGAACATATACTTGGAGGGTGTTTGGATTGACTTTTAAAGTAGCTTATAAGCTAAAAGCCAAAATCCATAAGTTGGTAATGCCCAACTTTTAGCTTTTGGCTTATTTTTGTACTTTTCATAACCTAAAAGTAGGTGCTTTTAAGCACTTTTTATCATTGCCAAACACAAAAACTAAAATGGTCTTTCTCATTCCATAAATTACATATTAAATACATAAATAAGCATACTCTTGGACTCTTGGTCTTTCTCGTCCCATATGCAGACTAGAGATATTTTTCCACTCAACTTGTATCGTGTAAAGTTCTAAAGATTAGAAGCTGCAAAATTTAGCTACTCAACAAAATGTATTTCATGTAAATCTTAACCCTTTTATTTTCTGTGCTGCCTTATGAGTTAAGATGTGGCGAAAAATAAAATAGCTACTTTTTAGTATGTAATAGCAGAAATAGCATATTTCTTTTTTAAGAGAAATTAAACTATTTGTAAATGACACATGTTTGCTATCTGTTACCCCGGACACATTTCTAGACTTTGGAAAACGACAGTTGTGATTTTGAAGTTAGCAATAGCTAAATAAATAGCCAATCTCTGTTTCACCCATTTTCTGATCTTAGAAAGGGGTTCTAAGTTTTGAAGGAGTTAGGACCTGCAAATTCTATCCTGGTAAACTCTTATTAATTCTTTTTGGGGGGTGAGGGAGAACCTTCTTACCTAAGTGAGAATGCTTGAAAAGTTGCATTTGAGAAGCAAAGAATGTATTCTAATTTGATCATGTTTTTGTTGGATTGGTAAATCTTCACAGGTAAGCATTGATGCATGAAAAGAAGACAAAATGGAGAAGATTACCCAATCACCAACCACGAACAAGCTCACAAAGACATGATTCCGCAGATCTCTCTTCAATCTTAAAGCATGGATATCCAAGCAGGCAAGAACAAAGCTCCACAGTACTTGCAACCCCATTGATGCTATTAAATAGCTGAACCAGGAAAATCAGACATTTAGAGCATGAGCCATAATTGAGTCATTAAGCATTACAAGGAATAGTATTACGAAAGGAAGAACAATGCATTCAAGTTAGCAAGAATTCTGAAGGTAAGCTTCATTTTATTGTCTTAAGAAAGCAGTCTTGACCTGGAGAATCAACTCCTTGTTTTAGCAGAACCTACAGTTAGTGCAAAGTAGAGAGAAACAATAGGAAGGTAATAAAACAACAACAACAAACTCGGTGTAATCTCACAAATGGGGTCTGGGGACGATAGTGTGTACGCAAACCTTACGCCAACCTTCAAGAAGGCAGAGAGGTTGTTTCCGGTAAACCCTCGGCTTAGAAGAAGGTAATAAAAGCAATACTAAAAAAATAGTGGACTCAACACTGATACTTCAAAGGTAACTACTCAATGTTGGGTCACTATGTTTGTCTTTAAGAACAAGATAGCAAGTATCCACTCCTTTCCTTTAAATAGAATAAGAATTAGAAAGAACGAAGCACAATTAACTTATTAACCAAGCATAAGTTAATTGCCAAAATATGGTCCAGCAGATGGAAATACATATTTAAGAAGGCCAAATTGGTCTACAGGCAAATATTATCATGAAGCACAAAGGCATATTTGCTCAATCCCTGATTCAATCAGAGTTGCCAAACCAAACCTGGGAAGAACATGTGTTTTTCCAAGATTTAGAAAGCAAAACTCAAACTTCAATGTCCTTTTTACTAGTGATTTACTACCTTATCTGCAAACTTGTAGAACTCTTATGCACTACAAATACTGGAAGATAAAAGTTTACTTTGAACAAAAAAAGAGGAAATTAAATAAAAGAACTGTGGCTATAAAAGTAGGTTCTCTTTATCATATCAAATGGCACCCCCCAGCGGTGGGCACAATTAAGCTTAACACTGATGGAGCAGCCAAGGCAAACACTTCTACCAATGGTATTGGAGGAATTTTCCGTAATACAGAGGGACATTGTTTAATGGGTTCTTGGGTGCATCTCCCACGGGCAATTCCACATGCATGGAATTAAAAGCCTTACTACAAGGTTTACAACTAGGAAGACAACATCGGCTCACACCACTGGAAGTAAATGTGGATTCTACTGAGGTAATAACGATGCTCAATAATGATAATCTTCACTACTCATCCTCTCTAATGGAATGCAGGTACTTACTTCAGCAGCGGTTAATCCTCCAGTCACCCACATATACAGGGAGCAAAACTACGCAGCACATTATCTAGCTCACCAGGGTTCATCTAACCATGCTCAGGACTGCACAACTATCTTCACTCAGCCACCGGACTTTTTGTTACCTCAACTACTAGCTGATCAACAATGCACTGTCTACCCGCGCTTAGTCAAAACCTCCAGTACAACGGACCTTTTCTACAGCCACCCCATTTTGCCACATGACCAACCAGTTGGTCACTATTTTGATAACTGTTTTTGTAATATTGTGCAACTAGCTCCTTGTAATGTTACTACTTAAATTAATATAAGTTCCTTTGACGACCAAAAAAAAAGGTTCTCTTTTACTGTCTGAGAATGAACAAGCAGAATTACATAGAAGCGCTAATGTGCTACAGAAATAATGTCTCCTAGCTCAGATATCTAAACATGAGTATGATACTAGTGAGACAAGCTTCCGTTTGAACTTGTATTCCATATTTACAGCGTATATACTCTATTTGTTAAGATAATTGAAAGATATAGTAATTAAAAAGAAAAGATCAAGAAGAAGAGAGTGAAATACCAAAAGGCAGTGGAGCTGGAAAAACCAGAAGCTGAGGCCATAACTGCAATAGAAGCAGAAGCAAATAAACATTGACCCATCCTCAATATTAGCCCACTTACCTTCCCTGGACTCCCAAACACCTCCTTCATTGAAAGAATCTAACACTGAATTTTTACAGAGAAAAGATAAAACCTTCCCATAGGACTGCAGATTTGACAAGATAGATAGAGAGAGAGAAAACAATTTCCTTTTATTATTCTAAAAGACAGAGAGAGAGAGAGAGAGAGAGAGAATAAACACTAAAATCCAATGAAATTGGTGTTTGAATTTTCTATTAGCGTTTGATTAGGAAAATGCTGACAAGAGTAAAGTCAAGATAGGAGGGATTGTTCTTGTCAAATGACTTTTCCTATCTTTATACCTAATCAGTTTATTAGAAGAAGAGTAATCAAACAATAATTTACCCCATATTGAAAAGGAAATATATATTTTAAAGTAGGTTAATGAATAGGAAAAGAGGAGGTTATTTGGAAAAGCAAGAATGATGTGAGATGTGATGTCTGGTAAAGCTAATCAAAGGTTCAACGAACCCACTTATACGGAAATCATTTCTTTAAATCATACTCGCAATGCTCCCTTATCGTCTACTCCATCCTGAGGAACCCAATATCTCTAAAAGTAAAATATAAACTTACTTTAACAAAGGAGAAAAATAAGAAAATAAGATTATAACAACACAAATTCCCTTGAAGAAAATAAACAGGACGTACAAAAGACCTGATAAAAAAAATGTAAAAGATTACCGTAATGATAGTCTAGGTAAGGACTCGGAGAATATTATAAAAATGGTCCTTTATCTTTGAGTTAGGTCTAAAATAATCCCTTAAATATACCCTTGAGTAGGTTTAGTCCATTATTCCATCAAATATACAACAAACATTGGATTGTTATTTAATCGAAACATGAAAAGAAAACAGTTAACGGGAACTCGCATACGGAGTTATAATTTTTTTTTTTTTTTTTTTGTCTATTTCCCGTGCAAATTTTGATGTTACATTATCTAAATTTTGGTTGGTGAAAAAGTTACATGGAGATTATAATAGCATAGCTATAATATGAAGACTAAATAATAACAGGATTATTTAGTATTTTTGATAAAAATAAGGTATATACGATACAATACAGAAAGTATATTTGGTTTTAAACTAGATAAGCTGGGATAGTTTTTTATTCCAATTTTGGACTTAAATTTTCTTAAAGAATTTTGATAGAAAAGCTTTGAAGAAGGATATCTTTTTGTACTATTTCAAACAAGGATAGGGAATGATAGGTTGCATGTAAAGATAAGGGGTATAAATAATTTTTTCCGAGTCAAATTTAAGGGGCAACTTACCAATTAGTAGGTAAAACCAATGTTAATAGAAAAAGGCACGGCGTTTAATTTAGTAAGAGTGAGACATAAGAACCGTCTTGCTCTTTTGACTCTTCCTCTCTCTTAAACCCTCATGAAAAAAGAAAAAACCTAAAACCCTAAATCTCTCTACCAAAACCCTTCCAGAAATGGCGCTCTCTAACGTTATCAGAAGGACAGCTTCGCAGGTTGTACCCCTCGCAGTTCGATCCATACGAAGAAGTCAGAGTTACCACCACTCTGCTCTCTTCTCCGCCGTCGTGGACCGCCGTGCCGTACATCGGAACTTGTTCCGAAGCTCAGTTCCTTCTACTCTGCATTTCTATTCTACTCGATCAAGTTCTGATGAGTCGCTCCTCAAAGTAATTCAGTCTGAAATCCAATTTGCCGAGGAGTCCGATGAACAGAACAAGGTTTCATTCTCCCTATTTAATTTACTTCCCCAATTTATCATTTTCCACCCTATAAAGACGTTAATGATCTTTGAGTTTTAGTTTACTGTTTCTGTTAATTACTATATTATGATCCTACTTCTTAAGGAAATAACAACAGAATTTGAGGAAGGAAATGCAACCAACTGAACTGTATTTTTGATTAAATCTTCAATCAACAGCAACTTTCATTAACAGAGGCGGATCAAGGGTGTCTCTCTCTGTATATATTATACATACTACTAGCCAGAAAGGCCGAATATGAAGAATGGATGGTTCAGTTAATTTTTAGTTAATCGAGTTAGGTCTTTTATTTAAAAAAGGCAAATAAGTTCGATTTTAGTTTAACTTTTTTACGCTTGATTTACTAGTTTCTAGATAAAAGTATAAAAAAAATTATTTCATGAAAGTACACCGCAATTAGAAAATTTTCTTAAAGAGTAGCTTAATGACTATATATTTGTGTTTGATTTGATTAATTGATCATTATTCTTGGGTTAATTTTTTCAATTTATTTGTTGAGTTATATGACAATTATTTTCAAAGCCAAAATTTTAAAGTTATCAATTTATAAGAATCCACTTAAAACCTCTATAAATCAGGATATCTTTTTCAAAAACCAACAAATGATACTGCTCAAATTATACTCCAATGTATAAATTATTGTTGTATCACTAGGAAGAGAGAAACTATATATTATTTAGAATTTTAAAATTACGCATCGAAAGAAATTGCTTATGAAATAAGATATAACTGTAGGAAGTAAAATGAAGGCTAATGTAAAGAAATTTAAAAAAAGAAAGAAGATAGAGGGATTTTAGCAGCAAATAACAGGAAGAAAGAAGAGGGGGGAAAAAGGAGGAAAAGAAAAGGAAGAAGAGATGAAGACCCAAGTCCTAACAGAGAATAAAGGAAATCTAGGGCTAATAAGTAGGAAAAAGGTGTAAAACAAAAGAGACGAAGAAAATGTTGCTGCAGGGAATTGAACCCAGACCTGTGGGTTACATTAGAGACTTGAAAAGCAAGGCTAAACCATGGCACCCACATGCCTTTTGTGTAATTTGGGTGCCACTTAATATCTATAACTCATTTTTCATAGATATCAACATATTTATTGAGAATTTTTGTGGAAGCGTGCGTGTGGCGTGCCATGCCTCCCCGATCCGACAAGGTAGGTCCGCCCTTGTTCGTTACTACTAATAATCTCATTCAAATGGTAATTACAATCAAGCTCTGCACCTGATCAGTTTAAGGAGGAATTGAGGAATAGAAGAACTAAAGAGAGAGAGAGAGAGAGAGAGAGAGAGAGAGAGAGAGAGAGAGAGAGAGAGCTAAGAAGGAGAAGGGATATATTTAAAGAGTAAGAACAGATGAGAGAAAGAACGGAGGGAGTCTAGAAATAATGGACACAAAATTATAATTTTCAGATTCCATAGTCTGTCACTCATGTTGCATTCTTGCAGTATATACAGATGAGTTAACTGCAGGGCTGCTATGCTCAAAAGTGTGAGTACCTAACGAATTATTGTTAGGGTGAGAAGATGTTACATATTTTGAGTTTTTAGATTAGTGTTCTGTTTATTGCTACTACACTATTTAGTTTGTGACAGGCTGCTATCTCTTTCATGAATCTTGTATATTTTCCCCTATGTTCTTTAATCTTTGTTTTGGGCTGTCCTATAGGGTTTGAGGAGTAATGGGAACTTAATAATAAAGGTAGAATTTTGGAGTTGTTTTACGGTGCCTTGTTTTGTTCATAATGACAACATTGTAAATCATGAATTATAATTTTCTTCGCCTAATATTCAGTTTCATCTAACAATTGTGTGATAGAATGATTTCAGAAGCTCGATTAAAATCTCCAGTTAACTGCTGTTGTAATTTGAGGGACACTGTGAAACCTCAGATCATTTCATCTTATTTTCCCTCTCTAGAAGGCAAACGTTTTGTATTTGCAGTAGTGACAACTCTATCTGCTATGGATGCTATCTTTGATCTTGGAACGTCCTCTATCTCAAGTTTCAGCATTAGGTTATATTCTGTTTCCTGTTTTTGAGTCTACTTGGGGATTATGATCATCTTGCTCGATATTTTTAGGCTGATGAGGTGCCTGAGGGTTTCCCCTTTAAGCTTGAAGACCATCCCGGACAGCAGACTATATCCTTGACTAAAGAGTATCAAGGTGAAACTATAAATGTTGAAGTTCATATGCCTGATCTTGTTACAGGTGACGACGATGAGGATGGCAATGACAATAATGATACTGAAAGGCCCGCTCAATCTCAACTTCCCCTTGTTGTTAGAGTGTCTAAGAGGAATGGTCCATGTTTGGAATTTGGTTGCACAGCTTATCCTGATGAGGTTGTAATTGACCATCTAGCTATTAAAGACCCTGATACAGCCGATGAACAGATTGCCTATGAAGGACCTGAGTTCTCGTTAGTATTGGTGCTCTAAACGAGCATAAAATTTTATTCAACTTTGTTTCATCTATATTTGGGCTACACATGAATTTCCCTTCACTTAGGCCTTTGGTACTAACTGAAACACTTAACTGTTTTTTCATCAGGGATTTGGATGAGAACCTCCAGAAAGCATTTCACAAGTATTTGGAGATCAGGGGAATCAAGCCCAGCACAACAAACTTCTTGCACGAGTACATGATCAACAAGGACAGCAGAGAATACTTGATGTGGATCAAGAACGTGAAGAAGTTCATTGAAGCATAGGTGCATATGCAGCAATTATCTTAGATATTCTTCTTATTTGGTTTGGCTGATGTTATTTTTTGTAAGCTCTGTCAGTCATTGATCAAATTTGTGAACCATAAGAGAGATTTTTATTGAATTAGTGATAAACGTATGAGAGCGTTCCTATATGAAATGGGAGTATAGAAAATTTTCTACTCAAGAGAGTTGTTCTATTTGAGTTGTTGATGGACATATGAGAGGCTCCTTATACGAAATTAAAAAAAATATGGGGAAAAGAGTTAAACATACCCATCTATTATATAGAATTTTATTTTTTAATTGAAGAGAACAATATGTCGCAACAAATTATTTCAGTTAGCTCCTTCCTCTCTTTCTTTATTATGTGATTTCTTTATTTTTGTTATTTTGTAGCGGAAAGATCTCTTTGTTATGTTATTTTCCCCGAAATGTTATGTTATTTTCTCTATTTTTTTTTAATTGTCTTTTTAATTTTTTGTTCTCTTGAAATCTCGTCATAAGTATGGGGGAAATGAAAGCAAGAGACAAAACGAAAAAGAAAACGTACAAATATAGCTCTTTTAGCATAAATATGATAATCATTTATTGCATTGCTTTTATTAAATGAACGCTTCAAATACATATAATAATTTCATTGGCCACTCATCATATATTAGTTATTAACCACATCATGGTAATAAAAACATGATTTATTTTATTTTCAGTCTCAACAACATGAGATGCAACATTTAAATAGGGAAACTCGACCTGGCAATCGCCACATTTGAATTTTTTACATAATCCAAAGCAACCTGAAATTGTCAAAACAAATATATCAAAAAATTAAAATTTTTATCATAAAGACTCCTCATATAATAGGAGAAAACATGATGAGCTGATCCAAATCAACGAGAGAGTATGTGTTTAGAAACCAAATTTTTGATTATAAAATAATTATACTTAGAAGACTTTCAATCATTTAGCG